TGGCATTAATGAGTCATGTGTTGCTTTCTAATTTAGAAGAAGAATAAAGTGAAACCATTGTTTCCATTATTTAAAAGATCAGATTGGACTGATGATCAAAGTGAGTTTTTTGCTTGTTATGAATTATATTTAACGTAACTTGTTTTATTTTAATTTGTAATCCATAACAAAGTAATACCCTGTATCGTAAAGAAATAGTTTGCCTTTTTCATTAAATAATTATAAAAATGTAAAAATATGCATATTTACTTTTCATCTCTTAACATTGATTAGAAGTAAGACTTTTTAGTAACTCACACAAAGTTCTGAATAAATTCATTGAAGCCTTTGAGTAATAATATCTTCTTTAAATGAGCAAAGCTTTATATAGGCAGTATTATAAAGCATATTTTTGTTTTGTTTTCTCCTGAAATTAGAAGTTGAGCATTTTCTTTATTACATGTAAGTCAATAACTTGTATGTTATTAAAAATAAACACTACAGAATAATGTGTTTGGTATTGATCATATTGTTTCAATATGAACATGAAATGTCCAGAGATATTGATTAATTATGTAAACATATAAAAAGACATTAGCCCATGGGGGAATCATGAAGATTTATCAAATTAATTATCTTTGCAGATACTTTACAGCATATTAGAATTAATGATTTTCCTATTTTGCTTTTTAATTCTTTCTTTAAATCAATAAATTATCTGTCAGAAAATTTCAATATACCAAATATAAGCCTATCTTAGTGAACAAATTTAAAAGCCATAGAAACTTTTCATTCTCTAATATTCCCTCTGCTATGTTGGTTTTTGTAATTCTCATCATATACTTATCACACACTTATAATCAAAAAGAACAGTTCCATTTTTTGAACAACAATATTAACATGAATATACATCATTAATTTAATAGGAACAAACAGAAATAACTCATTACTCTTGTCCCAGCTACTCAGATGGCCAAGGCAAGGAAAGGGCTATGAATGTAGCACAGTGGCAGAATGCCCCTGGATTCCTAGTACTAAAAAAAAATAAAATACAATACAATAATAATAATTCATTGTTCTCAATTGTGTTTCTGTATTTTTTTTTTCAGTCAATCTACTGGATTCAAAAACAATCCAAGGGGAGCTGGGCTGGATCTCTTATCCATCACATGGGGTGAGTTTATAAATTATTAAAAGGGAATGTGTCCATTGCCTCTTGTAGGCAGCAGAAGCAAGTATTAATGTGTTCTCTGAAGGAAAATTATACTTCTGATTAAAAATTATACTATGAATCTATTTATTATATGGACAAGGACAACCTAATATTTGTGTCCCATAAAACTATTGAGAACTTCAAAGTATTTTTTTCTGAATTTATCAGTTGCTTGAATGGATCAAATAAATATTTTAATTTTTACTGATGTTATAGATGACCTATGTATGACCATCTAATATTTTTTTTTGTGATGAGTTCAGAATAAGTGAATTGATAAGACATTCTAAATTTCAAGATATGTAGGAAGTGTGTATTTGGAGAAGATAAATCTCCAAAGTCATGACCTTAAAATCAACCATGGTGACTACTGTGTGTAGGGTTTAATTTATTTTTTAACAATATAAACTGATGTTGCCTTGATTTATTTGTTTACAATATATGCAACATGTGAATGATAGTTTACAATTGGGATCCAATTTAGGAAAAATATAAATTAAAATTTAAAATTTTATGCTTTTTACATATCTTTAATATTTACCAAGCCAGGCACAGAGTATTTGTGTATATGGTATTTTGGTGCCCCAAATATTTATAATGAAGCTTTTAAGAGAGAGAACTTTACATATTCTGTTTTCTTTTTAAATAAAAAGCAGGTCATACATTTGGAAAATTCTCATTTCCTACAAAACTGTATAATAAACACACCTTTTTGTTTCCTAGTGCAGCTTTCAGGAAATGAAAAGTGCTATTTTGAAATATTTGTCATAGTAACAAATTTAAGTATTCTTTTTCCCTTTCCAATAGTTTTCTTTTAAAAGTGATTGTAAATGCCTCACTTAGCATTGGTGTTCAGTCTTTAGATTCTTATGCCTAAACACACTACCAGCTTCTTCACAAGCGGATGTTTTCCATCAAGGATACTTCATCTATCTGTCATCTTTGTATCTGTTTCTCTTTCTGGCACACCTTGACATTGACAAAATGCCAAAACCTACAATCAGGCTTTCATTAGTTGCTTTGGAGGGAAGAGTATGAAGTAAGCCAAGGTTTGGTTTTCCCATAGGTGTAAAAGGAATCAAATGATTGGGATTAATGCACTGTCTGGATTGTTATAAAGAATGAATCGAAACTCAGGATTGAGCTGGAAAACTCATTTAAAATGAGCAGCTAAAAGTCAAATGTAATCCTAATAATTATTTTAGAAATTTGAGTTTCTCATTACTCCATCTGATAATGTGCCCTAGATACTCAGTGCTTAACGATATAAAAAACACAAAAACCATAATGACACTGCTAATAGAAATACACACTTTTTTTGTAAAAAAAAAAAGAAAGAAAAGAAAGAAAGATGCATATCAAAACAATATCCTACCTATGTTTTTATCTAAAGAAAGTGCAAAGATAACATATTTCTATACATTGAGGATTGGGAAAAACAAATTCTTTCATTGTTAGTACCAGAGTTCCACAGTTTCTCATTTTTTTTTTTTAATTTTCATAGATAAAATAGGGTGGACATGGAGAGATAGGTTGGGTGCAAGGGTGAGATGTCCAGCACTATGGTACTACCTCAAGCTGTTACAGCCAGGGATGTGGGACGGACTCTGGGTTGGTATTAGCCTATTCCCAACCCAGTCCCAGACTTCCAGAGTCGAAATCTTGGTCTCAACACCTCCTTCCTGGGGTGATTCTTAAACACGTAAGTTTAAGACACACTTCTCAAAATAACTTACCTCATGACATTTTCCATCTTTGGACCTATTTCCCACCTCCTTATGGCCTGAGAATCTCTTATGGTGTCCTCAGTCAACAGTTTCCAGTTCTTTTTTTTCCC